GCGGGCCGGGGGCGGGGGCCGTGGCGACTCGGTTTGGGATTTTGGGGGGCGTTTGGTTGGTTTGGGGGGCGGGCGGTTAACCTGCCGTTTGACCTCCTGGCACTGTTATTTGAAGGGGCTCCGCCCCACGCCTCGTTCTCTTCCCTGTGCGCCTTCACGAGTTCGCTCGGGATAAGTTTGCGGGTTCGGGTACTGCTGCGGCAGCGTAACGGGCAGTGAGGGGCACTGTGTGTTCCCTACAGGAAGGCTGAACGTGGGCGCCGACTCCGTCCAGCGCGGGGTGGAAGGACTCGCCTATCTTCTCACCGAAAGCTCCAAGCTTATGGTAACGACGCCTCTGCGTAAGACACGCAGGGATACGCTCAAGAGAGGTCTTCCAAACACTTCTAGTTCTGCAAATACTCGTGAATGGGGAAAACCAAGTTCAAAATTCTGATGATGTGTATTCTTTTAATTATTTTTTTTTTAAACAAGGTATCTCATGCAGTTCTCTTACTGAAACTGCATCTGCATGGATGACTGGAATTTGTATGCAGTGTCTGAAGCTAAAACTTGACAATGTTCTACTAGCGTACAGCAGAATGTGGTAATTCAGTGCCTACAGAGAAGCACCTTCAGGATTGAGCGCTGTCTCGACAGCGAAGATGTTTCTGTGCGGGTGCTGCGCAGGAGATGTGCTGCACCAACCCCTGCGCGGTATTCCGCACCTCTGGCTGCTGTGGCAGATTTGAGAGCTCTCTCAGCTCCCAACATCAGAAGTTTGGGTGGGTGTACACAGCTATTAAAAGAATAATCGTTGGATAATTGTCCTTTTCCATTGGAAAGGCTGTTTATTATTGATGTAGTGGAATATAGATGTGGAGAAGGGATACAGAGACAGGTCGTTCCAAACTAAACTGGAGCAGATGTTCTGAAGAGCAGGGGGGAAGGGACTGAGATATTGTGGAATCTCCCCTTGAAGTGCGGGGAGCGGATGGCAGACTGTTTGTGGTGTGGACGCAGTGTAAAGGTAAGACATTCCCTGTGGAATAAACAACTGCTTCCACAACAATGAACTGGTTGAGCTTCTCCAGGGCAGCACAAAGGCACAGACCTGTGGGAATCGGCTTCTTGGGGCCGCTCCGAGTTACCATAACGTCAGCCTTAGAGTTCTGCCGGCTGCTCGCTCACGCGTGTTGGCATTCAGATCACTTCAGAGTATTTACAATTTGAGTATCGATATTATGTTAATATACTGTTGATAAATCAATGACGGAAATGTGTATTTCCCTCATGACAAAGCTCAGATGCTCTTTGTGTTGTGTTTTATTCTCTGATACTAAGGCTTAAATGTGAGGATGCTGAATGTTTTCCTTTTTAAAAAAAGTGATCTTAAACTGTTCCTGAAGCTCATGCAAATCAGCAGTAACACATCAACACGTGAAAGTCACTTAAAACACAGATGATCTGTTTTGCCCTCACTGTAGCACTGTCCTCGCGAATTCCTGCAGGAAAATAACTGCCCCGTATCTTACGTGTAGTGTTTGTCTATGGTTTTGTTTGTTTCTCAACAAATAACGATTATTACACAGTTCTGCATCAAGGCCTCAATTGTTATTTCTAGATTTCTGAGACAGACTTCCAAGATTCCATTCATGTTCTGGGATTCTCAGATGAATTGAACAAAGTACTGCTGCAGCTGTACCTGGATAACAGGAAGGAGATCAGAAGCATCCTTGGCGAGCTGGCACCGAAGCTCCCCAGCTACCACAGTCTGGAGTGGAGACTGGACGTGCAGGTAACTCCTACTACGGGTCCAATACTCTGGATTTTACTTTACCTTTTGCTAACATCATAAACAACTGGTAAAAAATGAATTTATATTATTCCAGAGTAATTGAGGCAGCAATTTTTAATGTATTTAAAACTGACATAATTGTTATTGCTAGTTAGAAGATGAACAAGATATGTAATGGTGCACAGTATTTGTTGTTTTATGAAAGCTGAATTCACAGCTCCATTGGTGTTTTAAAAATGTTAGTGTGTACTAAATATATTCAGTCCTAATTTTCAGAAATATTATGAAAGCATTAATTAAAGTGGATTAGTGTCACAGATACTAATAGATACTATTCTATGAGTATGCCTAATGATGAAACTAAACAATAGATTGTGTGTATCTTTCGTGTGGATTTTTGAACAGTCCTTCGAGCAGGTCCTGCGAACCTGTTGTGGACCATAAATGTGAAAGTTGATAACCGTCGTCGTTTGTTTGTTTGCTTGTTCCCCTGTTCCCGCTTCATCTGAACTCCCGCAGCTTGCAAGCAGAAGTTTGAGGCAACAGATTAAGCCTGCCGTGACTATAAAGCTGCATCTTAACCAGAATGAAGAACAAACTGCCCAAGTGTTGCAAACGGACCCGTCCACTCTCCTCCACCTAATTCAGCAGCTGGAGCAAGCGCTGGGGGAAATGAAAACCAACCACTGCAGGAGAATAGTGCGCAACATGAAATAGCACAGAGCCACGGCTGTTGTCGTACTAAGCAGTTTGTGAAACAACTACAAACAATGTTCACAAATACCTTTTGAGGAAAAATAAACATCTGGATCAGATGAAATGCTTTCCTGTGCTAGGGTCTTGAGCCAGGAGTTACAGGCTGAATGTCCTCTGGTGCTGACTTTGCACACCTGCCTGATATGAGATGGGTAATTGGTTTTGCTTTACTTGCACGTGTAGAAACTCGGCATGCTATGCTGAGGATTTCTTTTGCTCTAAATTAGTATAGTTCTACTCAAAGAGCTTTCCTGCATTAAGTAGAGCTGTCTCAATATTACACGAAGCTGCACATTTATTTTTACATTTATTGAGTAGTTTTTTTCTTGGTTTTACTTCAGTTTTGAATTAAAAAAAAAAAACCACAAACAAACCCTATACTGGTGGGAGGGATCCTTTACAGGAATGTTTCTTCCATCTAGACTCATGTATGTGTAAGAGCACGTGTCGGACTACTGTCCGCTTCCTCCAGAGGATTCGGTCCCCTCAGAGGCTGGATGTTACACCGCTTTTCTTCCTTAGGTAACGGAAGAAAGTATAACCAAGCCAGTGCTTCCATTTAAGCAAGCCAGCTATAACCCCTGCTAGGCAGTCCCATGCTTTCTGCAGGTAGCACTTCCCCTGGAAAACCCAGTGGCCTGAACACCAGTTAGCGCACTGCTCAGTTCTGGATGTAAAGGTGATCTGAAAAATTGCAGAAGTAAGGTCACAGGCTGGGAGGCGGATGAAGGAACAGTGTTAACTCCTGCCAAATCTGATCTTCGTGTTGTGGTGCAACAATTTCTGTTCCCTTGTATGGACAGGGTGCTTATAAAGGAAAGACTAGCCAAGTGTCGCAACGCAAGAGATGCTTTTCCATTTTTCAGAAAAATGTCTTACAAAGGTTACATCAAAAGTCACTTTTCAGTTGTATTCTAATGCAATGTTTTGTAGCTTTTGTGACTAAGGTTAAATAGTTTTACTTATGAATGTTTTACTCTCACTAGTGAGGGTGCGTCTTAAATCCCTTAAAGTATATTGGAGAGGACAAATAGGCAAGAGAGAACCTTAACGTACAGATTCTGGCAGTAACTGTGTATTCACTGTCTTTCACAGCAGCACCATACATTTCTGTGTTAGTTGGGTTCCAACATTCACAAATGCATTATTTTCTTACGGTTTTGAATTTTTGTACAATTTCAAATGAAACCTGCATGGCAGAAGTGCTTTAATCGATAACACCTACTACCACCTTAAAAAAGTCCATTTTCTAGACTGTGAAGTTGCTTATTCTGTAACTGCTTTGTACGGTGTGGCGATGGTGTGAACAAACTTGATGTCCTCCCGTACATGAATCAGCCACGTGTTGCGTTTACCATCTGTATGCAGTGATTTTTTTTTTGTGTCACATACAGTATGTGGTAATTAAATGTGATCAAATGTTACTACTTGGGATTTCTGGTTAGTATTTTTGTATGTAATTGGCCTACGTTTTCAGGGGAAATAGAACAGCCTGTATGTAGGGCATGATTTCTCTATTCTGTCTCCCCCAACTATAGCCACAGTCCAGAACACCTGGCAGCAAAATACAAGTTTTAGATACAAGCCCTGGAACGTTTTCATGTCTCGTCTCACTACTGCCCTGTGAATCTGAACATAATGACCTTTCTGTCTCTGAAACCTTTAAAAAAAAGAAAACTAGTTGCTGTAAAGCCAGTTGGCATCATGGTAAATGATGACACACAATTTACCTGCGTGTCATGTCCTGAAGCATGTGCTAGAAGAGAAGGGGAGGGGTTCCCTCAGTGATCGTGAGTAAAATGGACAGTTTAAAGTGGATTTTGTGAACACAGAATGTCATTAGACAGCCCGCATATTCCTTTTTTGGCGCTTACTACAATAGTGTAGAAGTAAAAACTGCCGACGCCGAATGGTCTTGTTTCCTCTAACAAAAAATGACCTGAATCGAGGATGGTCAAGGTTAAACTTCGAAGCTGGGTGAAATTTAGAGAAACTCAAACTCTGGCAGTGATCCATGAACAAAGTCAAGGAGGAAAGTAAGGAGAAAGATTTGTTACACCAAGCGCGTTGCTTTTGAATTGTCCCTTTCAGTTTGTTCTGGGGAGAAGCGCCAAGCCTGGGAAAGCAGCAGCTTGGCTGCTACTGATTGCAGCTCCGTTGTTGGAAGGGTTGGCTTGTCTCTGCCGATGGAACGGGTCTGCCTACGGCTCTGCTGTTCCCCCTCGCCCCATCGCCGGAGCATGTGCTTGCAGACGAGGCGCTGCGAGCGCAGGACAGCAAAACACGATGTGTAGTGTGAGTGCCCGGCAGCCAACATGCGCTGCTGGTGACATCCTGGCACTGGCTGGAGCCCCCAGCGTGGGGACACACGCTGCTGGTGACGCCCTGGCACTGGTCAGGGTTCCCAGTGTGGGGACCGGGTACTTGTAGAGCTGTTGGTTTGTAGGGCAGCAGAACCTGGAGAGCGAAAAAGCTGCTGCTTCAGCAACCCACAGCTAGTGGTAAAATCAGAATTCACCTGTGGATCTGGGTTTTTCCAGCCTTAATGTAAACTGTATCCAAAGTTAAAGGTGACACATAAAGCTGTGTTTAATACAACTTGTTTCCTCTCATGAATTTGTAATTGCTTTATAGAAACCCTTGAAGAAGACATGGAGAGTACAAAGCATTATTCACAGGCTATTAAAAAAACATATGTAAGTTTGCTACTTTTAACCCATTTTATTTTTAATAGGCTTTTTAAAATTTGCTCTGGTGGGTAGCCTCTAAAAGCGAAGTTAAATTTGAGGCCGTTTCCCTACTGGTTGGTTTTTTTTTCAAGTCTAGAAGAACTGATTGTTGATTTTATAACAGAAAAAACTGACTCTAAACTTCTTTAAAACTTAAGTAACTTTTTTTAAAAGTGACTAATCAAATTTGATTTGTAGACAGTGCCGCATTTTCATCTTGAAGCCCTTTACAAACATCAGTTCAGTTCTGAATAATCAGTGAGGAAGTAGAGTGCAATACTACTTCGCCTTCAGAAATTTATTAAGTATGGAACGTAATTCGTTACCCTCAGGGCAGAACTTTTGTATGGTTTGTTTTACTGCAAAATTATTGTTGTTCTGCAGAACAGCTCCTGTGTGTGTCAGGGAACTTGTGGCTTTCTGAAATACGCAGTTTGTGCCTGGCTCCCCACCACCTTTTTGACAGACCACTAAATTCAGGCGAACTTCATGCCAGTGCAGAGTTCCAAGAGCATAGAAAACGAAAAACCCAACTAGTTTAAGCACAAACTATTTTCTTAAGAGCAGAATTAGGCTTAGCCCTTCGCTATATGCTTCTCAAGGGATTTGTATCCCCATTTATTTTTTCCTGGTCTAAACAGCAGAGGGCAGAAAGTTTATTTTTTAGAATCTACACAGGAGAAGTCACTATGCAGTCATTGTCAGTGTTTGTCTTGCGATAGGAATTGTTTGTAGTCTCAAGACTTAGCTTGGAATGTACTTCACCTTTTTTTCCCAAATTTGTGATCGATTTTAAACTGAAAACAATAAAACTTCCAGTTTTCAACCCCTGTAAAACATTGCTAAACATAGGCTACTTAGCAAAGAACATAGTATACTCCAATTCTTAAAACTCAGGGGAACATAATTTGTTTGGTCTTGTAAAATGTTTATATTCTGTTAAGCATTGAGGAAATTCAAGCAGCAATGCTTTTCTTCCTCCTTTTTTTAAATCCTTCTGAATGAATTCTGTGATCACTGTTCATTTTGTAAAATCCATTGCTTAAGGTTCTGTTCCAAGTTTTACCAATTCCCCACCTCTGACTCTCCCACAAGCTTTATTTTCTTGTACTTTTGCTTGTCCCTGCCACTCTTCCTTGCAAGTGTTTAAGGTACTAGACTAAATACTGTTCCACCTTTTAACTGCTAATTAATTAGATGTTCCTTGAATTACACGGGGAAAACTGTTTTCATTTAAGCAGCTATGGAGTTAGTTTAGATAGACACGCACATAAATAAAATCAGTATCCAAACTTTGGGTTAGGCCCACAATTCTCATTTAACAGAACCCCACTGAACCAAGATTTTGTCTTAACACTGTATTTTGGATTTAATGTTACATGTCTTAGACCCGTTTTAAATTTAGTGCTGTTTATGAAACATGCCCATGTATAGACTCGAAGGTATGAATGGCGATTTTGTTTCAGTTCCAGTTTTTATAAAAATGCCCATTTCCTATGCTGTGACTGTAACAATAGCGAGTGCGTAGGAAGGGAAGTCCCAGATTAGGAATAACCTGGCAACTCTCCACGAGCACAGCTCTGCTCTTTCTTACTTATCTAAATAAAGGGAAGGAAGTCTCCTATCACTGCGCTGGGCTTTGTGCTCAGGGTCAGGTATATTACAGCACAAACTTTTTTTAAATACTCTTGCTGATTTTATTTTCAAGGTAAGTATAAATTGTGGCAGTTTGGTTACTGCAGTTGTATCTTGAAGTCCAAATTGTGACTGGCCCATCAGATTATTTGTATCACTAGAAAACACTATTATTTCATAAATTGGTTCTGGGGTTTGATTTATTTGAAATGTGGCAGGCTTTAAACATTACCAGTAGTTCTACTGGAGATGAAGTAGGGAGCAGACTGCTTTTACATGCAGAGAAGTGCCAGTTTTACTGTGATGGTGTAACATTTTTAGAATACATTTTAGGAATTACCATGATCATCAGTTTTATGATTTGCTTATTCTAGATTCTTTATGACAACGTACTCTAGATACATAAGGACAGGCAATCCTTCAGTCCAACTGTCAAATCAATGACATTTGTAAGAGGAACACCACTCTGAATAGTTGCGTGCTGGTTGTCCCACAATGTAGACCATATTCAGGCTAAGACACAAGCCATAGTGTCTAAACATGCTGCCAGACACGTGAAACACATTTCCCCCCCGTTAAATACATATTCTACTGATG